CCCCAAAACCCCAAAACCCCAAAACCCCTATAGTCCAAGAAATATTTATACACATAAATGCAAAAAGAGTTATTGATTAGTATTAATTTGAAGAAATATTTATCAATTCTTTTTTGAGTGGCTATGTGTGAAATGAATGTAATTCAAAAGATAGAAAATGCATCTGCTCATTCAAACATATTTGGATTTATAACATCTGGATCTCTTCCATATTACTGCATTTAAGCTGCGTTTTATTGCTGCTAGCCAAATAATCCTGCAGAGGAGTCACCTTCATCTTAATCTTAATAAATAATAAATGATATGATTATTTACTGCTGAAAAATAGCTAATTAGAAGTCAAGTTATGAACATAAGAGTTTTATTGCTGCTATCCTCTGTAGGCTTTTGTTGTAGGTGTATCAGCTCCATCCTTGTTTGGTGTGTTTGCACCACTAGTCTTTCTTGAATCCTAAAAGATTATCAATGAGATTGAATTACGTTTCTTGTTGGAGTATTGCTTTGATCTTATTGCTGTTGGTGAATCAAATTAGGTCTTATTTGCTGAACTGAACTCTAATTTCTTTTTGAACTTTCGAAAGCACTTCCAGGTCCCCCTGCACTTCCATGAGAGTGATATTGTTGTGACATTGTTTACATCTAAGGCTGAATAATGCTTGGACCACCTACAAAGAAACCAGATGATGAATCCTCTTCTTATTCCCCACTTCCTCCAACAAATTAGTTGTGAGGATGATTGTTTATTCTTATTGAACCATAAGCAGTTTGCTATTGTAACTATTGCTAATTGCTATTCATTTGATAGTAAATTGGTATTTCTCCACTGCTTTGCTTCACTTCTTCTTAGAATTAATACCCTCCATATAAATTCTATTGATTTGATACTTACTATCTTTGCTGTCTTGGATGAGCTGCTGCTCTTGAAGTTGGAGCGCCTACTGCTGCTGTGTAATTGTCAGTATCACTGAATAAATCACTTGGAACTTATTAAATATTAGTCAACTAGTGAGTTTAATTATTTGAGCCAGTTTATATCTATTACTAAGCATTCTATTGAACTGACTAGAGGGAAGATGGCTGATTGTGTTGTCTAACTAAAGGAGCATTATGCCCTCTGTGGAATTAGTTCTTGTCAAAGTATGCTGTAGCAGTAGATCCACTCTCAGCACTCATCATACTCTCTGCTGTTTACTAAGGTAGATTAGATCTACCAGCAGTTAAAACTACTCCTTGGCCAGCTACCCCTCCTTCTCTCTAATTAACTGCACTATGATGAGTTTGATGAAAAGGAGCAGATTGATCTCTATTCTAATTATGCATAAATAAAGTGCTACTATCTCCATAATTTTAAAAGAAATCTGAGGGTGGGGCTTGTGATAGTTGATTTTATCTTAACTAGCTTTGAGCAACCTAACTTGACGGAGGAGCATTCAAAGATTCTGCTAGTGGGTTCTACTATTGGATAACTTATTATTACTACTAGATGTGCTGCTAATTGCTTCTTTATCTGCCTCTGCTGTTTCTTTGCCTAGGATTCTAGAAAATACTATTACTTGCACTTGTATTTTATTAGTTTTACTATCGATTACCTCTTCTTCTTTGGCCTTGCTTTCTCTATCTACTTTGCCCATAAGTTTATTATCCTCCAGCATATCCCTCAGTTTCATCATTAAAATTAGTAGGGTTTAGTTATTAATGTTGCTATCCTAGTATTTGATTATCCCTATTATTGCTTTATGAGAATTATTGCGCTATTCCTTAAGTATTATCATCAAATTGGTTTCCTTCTTCATCTTCTTCATCATCTTCACCTCCATTTAGATGTTCATCATCTTCATAATCGTCATCCTCATCTATGTCGTCTTCTTGATCCCCTTCTTCCTCAAATTAAGTGTGACCACCTCCAACTGCCTCTAGTTGATAATTTTATTATTACTAATGTTATCTCTAATTTCTAGGTTGGCTAATTATATCATCATTATTATGGTTGCTTTCATCTTCGTATTAATCCATAGAACCGCCATTGACAGCAGCAATATTTCCACCTTCATCACTAATCAAAAAGTCATTTTAATTTCTAATCTGATGTAGATTGCTTTGATTATAGCCGCCATCACCACCAGTTCCTTCTTCTTCGTATGCTCTAGGAATATCTGATTCATTATTATCAGCAAGATGAGAGGGCTGTTGTCTTCTGTTAAATATAGCTGATGAATCTCTTTGGTTGCTTCCACTACCTGCAACTGTGCTTAGTTATTGAATTTCAACTTGAGATAATAATTCATTCAATTGATTATTCTTTTCTTGAAGTTGAATATTTTGCCTTTCAGTCCTTTAGAACATACGAGTGCGATTATTAAGTTCTTCATTCAAATCTCTAATCTTCTATTCGTAATGCTGTTTCTAGTCTCTTATTTCTCTTTAAAGCTACTCTACCTATTCAGATTAATTGCTTCCAGAATCACCGCTGTTTACATTTTGAGAGATTATCTGTTAAGAAAATTGTGTGTTGTTCACTCTTTGTTCAATAGACTTCATTAAGTTATCTAAAAATTGTCTTTGAGCTTATGTTTCGTCCATCAACTATTGCAGTTTATCTCTATACTAATGCTTTTCTTCCTTATGCCTTAAATTCTCCTTCTTTAATTGATTTATCTCTAATTGTCTTTCATTAATTTGACTTTCATATCCTCTAGCTTAAGCCGTTACTAAGGCTTCTTATTCTTACTCTTTAACCTTTAGTTGCTTCAGCTTCCTATCTTTATCTTTCAAATCATCTCGTAACTATTTGTTTTCTTCCATTAGCATATTTGCCTTTCTTTGCTATAGATGGCAATCGTTTTCAAGATGAATTAACTTTTCTGCTAAATCTTTTTTCTATGAACGTTTGTAGCTGAGAGCATCTTAAAGTCTTTTGATATTGTCTCTATCGGGCTCATTATTTTACTGCTACTGTGAAGATTGTGCCTATGATTTAATACTTAGCGTCTTGTTATGAGTTTTTGGGGCTTAATGAGAAATTTAATCCTATCCAATTTCTGACTATTCTTATTCTAATTTCTAAAATATTTTTGAAGACTAAACTGATTCTTCACCCGATACCTAATTATCAAGTTCAATTATCTTGTTTTGACTTTCTCTTTTTGAAATGGGTCTTGAAGATTTTTTTGATACTGCTAATTCTTCAATAACTTTCTATTCCTCTTTGATCTCTTCTTATTCATTGATGTTTAGGTTACTCAGAATATTTACACTTTCATTAATTTTTGATTAATCTTATAACTATGAATAATCCTGAAGATTATTGCTCCTTTAATTGACTGAAAGGAAGGTCTCCTCTCTGTCCTCAATAATTACAGATGAACTCTAGTCCAAAAATTGATAATTTGAGCCTAATTTACTAGACTCATACTGAGTGTCGTCTAAATTATTTTCTTAATTTTATTTCTACTATTCAACTATTCTCTCTTATATTAATGTTTATTATTGCTGTTGATCGATAGGCTGCTATCTTAATGAAACATTGTCTATCATTGATAAGTTGCTTTCAATTTATGCTTAAATTCTTCGTTCTCCTTCATCTTCGTTATTATCATTATTTGATTGGCTCACTTGCTATGATACTTGAGTTTATTCCTATTCTGGAGATTTTTAATCTATAGTTTATTCAACTCCTTTAGTTGTTCCGGCAGCCTTCTTCTTTTTCTTTTTCTTTTTTTTGGCTGCATTTGCTGCTGATTCCCTACTCTCAGAAATATCAACACTCTAATCAAGGACTCTTATATTTTCATTTTGTTACATTTTTTAGCTATCTTAATTGATTTAGCTGTTATCGTTATTTAACTAATTCTACTATACATTTTATGCCTATTTTTCATTTGATCTTTCAACATATTCATTATTCTACTATTATCTCTCAATAGACTAGATACTTTAATTAAGGCTTTAAGAGGAATCTCTTTATATCATTTATTATTATTTTGATTCTTAGAGAGGTTCATGTTTATTATTCTAAACTGCACTGAATTGGTGTCTATCCTCTGATTATTATTTCTAAATAACATTCTAATTTGTATTAGTTTCAATCTAGTTTTGAGTTTATTATTAAGCTTATTCTTTAAGGTTTCTTTCTGAAATATTTCCTTCAGGTTGTTGTTCAATTATTGGTGTTTATTGAGTAGGAATATAAGTTGGAATATTTTACCTTATTCCACCCATAGGAGGCCTAAAACCAGGAGGTTATCCTCCCATCATCATTCTAGGCCTCATACCTTGAGGTCCTGTTGGTCTAAAACCCATTCCTGGTCCTTGCATTCCAATATTAGGTCGAGGCATCATTCCTTAGGCTCCATGAGGACCATTTGGTGGTCTTTATGAATTAATCTAATCTCCAGTCGGAGCAGATGTGCTTTTACCTTGTACAAATTCATCGCTAATTAAAGTCTTAGCATCTAATACTTATGCTCTAAAATCTCTCCTTGATGCTTCAAATCTAGGGCCCTACATCGTATAAATTAACTAAATACTATTCTACCTTTAATTTGACTTGTACGGCTCTACACTTATCTCTATATTACTTTGACTTTGGGTCTTTGCATTCTTCTAAAATTGGTAAACTAGGAATTAAGGAATTATAATGGATGATTAGGTATAAACCCAAAGTATTCAAAAGATATCATTCTCTAAGGTTTCTACTGCTTAGGCTATATTTAGCTTTTACAATGGTCCAAGTTCTGGGTCACCCTAGAATACTTCGTAAAGCATTTTTCTAACTGAATCTCTTGATGAATTTCCTGTCAGAGGATACTTTGCCTCAGATGTTTGATTGTCTGACTCCATTGATGTTTTAATGATTATAGAATTTAGATTAATATTTACTTTATCGTGTCAGAATTTTCCTATGCGGGGTTTTGGGGTTTTGGGGAGATCGGA